TATGCAGGATGAACAAGGTCTAGAGATCTGCTCTACAACACTGCATTTGTGGTTAACAGTCCTGTGTCAAGCACTTATATTGTGTTTCTAGGGAGACCTCATATTGAGTGTCTTTACAGCAGTTAAAAAATATTCCACCTGAAATTCATCATTCCCTCAACTTCTGTTTTCTGTTAAATGTCTGTCCTCAAGGTATAGATTTGGAGACTCACACCAGTAGAGTCTGTGTTCCTGACTGACGTTATGAATCAGTCACCTCTTCTATCCACAACTTCCCTCCTGAGTATGTTAGAATAGAAACGAGCAGGATGTAGATCTCTGTTCTTGTACCTTATTCCACTGAGATGCTGGGCTGTTTCTCCATGAGGCAGAGCATCCTGACAAGTTCTCCTGGACAACCAGAGGTGGGCCACTAGGACTCTGTAGATTCAACTGAATTAAAAAAAAAAAAAACTGAAACATAGATGCACATACACAGAGTTACTTTAAATCTCCTCTCTGATAAATCCAAAATCTGTATCATATCTTATTCTGGTTCTAATACCTGCTTTATCACTTCAGAGTCTTTGTTTATCGTCACCTTTTTACCAGGTCTTTTAACATTTTGATAAAACTCCTACACAGTGTCTGAGTAAACATGACCTGAAGAATCATCCCCAAATTGCTCATCAGCAGCTCCTGTCTTGTCATTCATTCAGGACTCTTGAAGGGCTGTCCCTCCTGGACATGGAGCTGTCCTTGGGACTGACAAGGTGCTGACAGGGGCAGACAAATCACAGCATCCAACCCTATCCCTGGCCTCTTTCTCTGTGGTGGGCAGTCATCCAGAGAGTGATGCCCACAGACATGGACTGGCTCTCATGCCCACAGTCAGGTGGACATCAAGGGAAAATTTGCTTTTAAAGTTTAGCAATAGGATGTTATTACTGCTTTCATGTTAACCATTGTAATCGATTTTAGTTTTTGATATCTGATAAGATTGGTGGATTAAATGAAGGAATAAAATCTATAAAATATGAGTGAGAAGTGAATTTAAGTTGAACATTTGTACACTTTAGATGGACAGGAATGACCATGGAATGGAAGAATTTAAGATTTTTATCTTTCCCAGATATTGAGAATCAGCGTCCTCAGTAACACACTGGGCATTATTTACTGCAGAGTCTCTGTGGTTCTGATGTGCTGTGTCTTGTATGGCAGGATGAAAAACACAAGGCAGGCCTGGAACTCATGTAACAGCAACAATGTAACAAGTAACAACTCTCAGGTGTGATGAGACCCACATCCCAGGAGAGTGTCCAGGGAAAGAAAGCAGGGGATGTGCTGGGATCAGAACTGCAGAAGCAAGACCCAGAGCCTGAGTTTCTGTGGGAGAGTTGGGCTGGGTCCAAGTCAGCACAGAACACAGGGGTTGAAGGAAGGTAGATCTGGGCTCAGAAAGCTGGGGCCACATTATGCCATGTGGCTCACCAAGTTCCCTCCCATACCATAAATACATGTCAGATAATTTCAAGAAAAAAAAAAATATATAAACATTTCAAAAAATAAAGCTTCCCACCTCAGTTCCTCAACAATTATAAGGACAGAGCTCCCTCACATGCAAATTTTCCTTCAAGCTCTGGGGTAAATGTGGACACTTGGGCGGTGGAAGCTCACAGGTCTGTCCTCAGACAGGGCTCAGGTCTCTGGGGAAGGCAGAGTTGAGATCTAATAGAAGATGAGACTGTGGGCTCTTCTCCTTTGCCTGGTGACAGCTTCCCAACGTGAGTGTCTCAGATGTCACACATGGATTCTGGGATGTTTGTGACTGTGTGTGACTGACAGGCTCTGACTCTCCTTGTCTCCAGGTGTCCTGTCCAAGGTGCAGCTGCAGGAGTCGGGCCCAGGACTGGTGAATCCCTAGTAGACCCTGTCCCTCACCTGCACAGTCTCTGGTGACTCCATCACAACCAGTAGTTATGACTGGAGCTGGATCGGCCAGCTCTCAGGGAAGGGGCTGGAGTGGATAGCAGCAATCCGTAGTAGTGGTGGTACAGCTTATAACTCATCCCTCAAAAGCCACACCTCCATCACCAGGGACACATCCAAGAACCAGTTTTTCCTGCAGCTGAGCTCTGTGACAGATGAGGACACAGGCGTGTATTACTGTGCGAGAGACACAGTGACAGGAAGTCAGTGTGAGCCCAGACACAAACCTCCCTGCAGGATACAGGAGAGGTCTGGGCTGCAGGGGGCGCTCAAGGCCCACCCAGCTCCTGTGCCCCATGGAGCAGGTGCAGAGAGGGGATGGGGGGCTCCTCTCAGGATCTTAGGTTTCCTTTGCTCTGCTGACTCCAGATGCCCCTCAGGCTCATGTTCTGCTTTATTCTATGTGACTCTAATTTCTCACATTCTCACTGCAGGCAACACAGAGTGAAGTAACTTTCCTCATGTGCAGATGAGAAGGTTCTTTTCACTGGGGAGTTTCGTTCCTTGAGTTTTTTTTTTTTTTTTTTTTTTTTTTTTTTTCCTTTTTTACCTTTTTTCTTCCTGACACACAAATCATTATGATCTATTATTATTTTCCCCAAATGTTACAGCTGTCCAGGAGTGCCCTGTCTCTAAATCAGCATTTTTACCTAAATAAATGTCCTCTCATTTATTTAGGGAATATGTCCCTAAATAAATGCAGCTACACCCACGTGGTTATTATCATCCTACAGGACCCCTGCCCATGGTGTCTCTATCCTCAATGAGGCAGTTCAGGGTCTGGATCCTCATCCACACTGTGGACATTGATGTTCAGGATGTGTCCCTCTCTTCCCATTCCTCAGTGTCCTGGATTGAGAAGCAGATGCCCGAGTGCCAGACACAGCTCTTATATTTCCATTTGGAGAGTTCAGGGTGACAAGCACAGAAATAAAAACCTGCTGGGCTGAATATTTGGCTTGGTCTGTCACAGACAAGTCATGATAAGTTGACAAGACAAGCAACAGACTCCATAAAATGACCCCTGATGTCCTTGCTTTTGTCTCCTCTGTGGACTACATTTTCATAGAGACTTCTTAAATCGTGTCTAAGGTGCATGTTGTGTTTTTGTTTTTCTGTCATGATACAGAAGCCCAGTTGATGTGGGTAAGGTGTGGGGTAGGGAAGCAGTGCACAGTCCTAGGATGTGTTCTGTCATTAGTGAGTGGTGTGCTGGGTGGGACCTTCCCAAGTGCTTCTCCCTTTACCCTCCCTTAGGGGAGACTGCAAATCTCTTGAGGGAGGTGGAGGGGATTCATTTTTCTCTTCTCTCAGGTTAATGATGCTCTGATGTATCTGCAATCTCTTAGGATCAGCTAAACTCGCTTCTCCTAAGTCCAAGCCTTCTTATAGAGAAGGTCATGCTCTGGTGTATTTCAGAAGGCTCCTTCCTCCCTTTCTCTGCTGTGAACATGAGGATTCTTCTCTGATATTTTCTAGGAAAACACGGTTGGGCCCCTGAGGTAGATTTTAAAGGTTTGGGGATCCCTGAGACCATTCCACTGGTCTGCACTCAGATTTCCCAGCTCTGAGTCTTCAGCAATTCTTCAGCTGTAGCTCTGGTTTATCTCCCCCAGTCCTGGATCCCATGGAGGTTTCTGCTTATGAGTTTCTAAACAGACAGGTTATGACGCTCTGTTTCTTCCTGGCTGCATCTTCAGTTTTGGGGACAGCAGTTCACACTGTGACTTCAATTCTTTTACAGATATAAGAATTGTCACCAATTTTCATTTTGTTCCCTGTTTTTATTGTTGTCTGGATGGGAGCGATGACATCCAAGCTTCTTATGTGTGAGACCTGAACCCAGAACTCCTCGTGTCACACCTGGAGAAAAGGGCTGTGTTTATGTGTCCTTCTGGTTGCTGCTTATTTACTTCCACTTTTCACATTGAAGGTGTCGAATGGAAGCTGTGCTGGCCGCTGTCCTCAGCTCATTCGGGATTTCTGAGGGACGCCTTGATCCTTCACCACTGTGTGGTCTGAGAGAGGCTATATCTCCTTCACTTTTTATTAATATCATCTTATGTGACAAATCATAATTGTATTCATTTATGGGGAACAGAATGATGTTTTGATAAATGTATATAATGTGGAATAATTAGATCTGTTGGGAAAATATAGGAAAATGGTCAGGGCCCCTCAGATTTTCAAAATATTGCTGAGCATTTGATGTAAATATGCACGTGTACCCAGGTGTTCCTTGGTTATTGTCTAATGTAATTGCGCATGTGCATCCCAGTGACCTGGGTTATGGAGATAAGTATAAAGGATGAGTGGCTCTGATCCACGGTGCTCCCTCTACCCCTGGGGTGCCCACAGGGGCCAGGGGGAAGCCTCTATTGCTACTGGAGGTTATTGATCCAAGCTGTTGCTTCCAGTGCCCCCGGGACCCTCTGCAAGGCCGCTGCCACCACCACCTCCTCCAACACCAGACTTGTCAGCTGCTGGACCTGTAAGCTCCTGCTGCTGCTGTTGCTGAAGATGGAGCTCATGTTATCTACCGGGGATCTTTCCCAATTACCTAGCGTGGACCTGTGTGAAGTGTCTGGTGACCCAGCCTGGCATGTGAGGGGTTTGTGACCCAATTTGTACAATGGGTTTAATGGGTCTTGGGTTTGAAGGGTCTGAGCACTAGCCCTGACAATACAAATGGAAACATAGTATAACTAATATAATGAGACATTTTTTTCTAGTGATGTTTTGCCTTCTCGTCAACTGGAATAGTTGTGTAGATTTACAAGGTCAAGCTGGTCAACTTATAATTTTGGGGGGAAGACTTTTTAAACTTACTCTCCTTGGTATTTTGAAATATATTATTACTGACTATAGACACTATTATTACTGACTATAGACATTCAGACCAGTGGAGCACAATTGAGAATACAGAAATCACCCCTCAGGCTCACAGACATCTGATATTGGACAAAGGCAACAAAAATCTACATTGGGGACAAGACTTCCTCTCAACAAGTGATGCAGGGAAAACTGG